TCCTAAGTGAAAACATGCAAACGTTTGCTGATCCGGTAGATGATAAAGAAAACATTTAAATGTAAAAAATATTGTTTATTTATTATTTAATTTATTCTTTATATTTCCAATATATAAAAAGGAACAACTAATTTGTAAAGTAAGAAAACAATTCGAAGCTTTCTAGCCAGTTTTAAAGCAGCAAAGTATCTGTTTCACAGGATTTTATAAATTTAATCCATAATAACGAATAATATCAAAATAATTAATATAACATCATTGATATGAAAGACCTCTAAATTTAAATCAACCCTTCTAGCCCTTTTTCTAATTCAAACGCATCAAAAAAGCTAACGATGAAACTAAATTAATTGAGCTTGATTAATAGAAATAATTAGCCATATTAAATTAATGAAGATTTATGATAAATATTCAAAACTAAAAATACTCTTTATGTATCTATTTTGTAATGAATTTAAAGAAATGGCTTTGCTTATCAGATATCTTAATTAATTCATGTATATATGTATGTGTATATATTTATATACTTGTTTTACGCAAGCATATATATATATTTATAAATTGCTTACGCAATACAATAAAATAACATAAATATTCTTATTTATGATAGAATTAAATTTATTATTATATATATATTTTAATCGATAGAGCTAATTTAAACTTCACGCTCTTTTTGATCATATTGCTATTCTTAAATCATTATTTTTCTATTATGAAATAAATATTTAGTAGAATAATAAATATTATATAGTAAATTCAAAGAAATTTTAAAGTAATAAAAAAAGGTATCGAAATAGGTTTCGAACCTGAATAAATTGAAAACCCTGATTATAACCTCTTCGCTTATTTTTTTTCTCATATAATTAGTATTCATAATTAAAATTTAAGAATATATTTTTCATCCATATTGTTTTTTGACTATTCAATTATTCCATTCAAATATTTAATTTGGTGTAAGCTAGATTAATTATTACAGAAATGCGTCTTCTTTTAAATAAAACTCTACTTAAAGAAAAATCAAATAGATATTTAATCATAACAAGGAGGAAAATTAAGATTCTATTAAATATTCTAATAGCTCACTATTTATTATTTTGATATAGATAGAAGACCATTTCTTGTAATAAAAAGAATACTTAGGGGATAGAAGGTTTCATAACTAAATTTTGCTAAAATAGTTGCACATATAACTATATAAATGCTCTTATAATTAAATAAAGCATGTGAAAAATAGCTTTTTTTGTAATTTATTTGCCATATTCAAAAAAAGACATAAATTTGCTCTATATTAATATTACGAGTACTATGGATATTTCAGTAAAGAATACAGCTTATTTACATATTATTTTTACTATTAGAGTAGTTTTAACGTACAAAAAAATATTAACTTAGCTTCTTTTGAGCATATTTTTCAAGTTATTGGCACTATATATCAAATATATATTTATTATCCACAA